CATCCATAACAGAAATCCCAGATAACAGTGGTGTCCAGAACCCGTTCAGTCTCAGATGCTGCATTTGATGGCCCTGCAGTAGGAAATGATCGGCAAACTTATAAAGGTCACACTGTGTCTTTTCTTTTGCTTTTTACGTGCTTTGCCTCTAATTATCCTTCAATTTATTCATAAAATTCACCAGATAGCTTGAAAACATGCCAGTACACTGTCAACAGTGGGTCAGCTTTGCATAGGTGTGTGTTGAAGATCAAGTACTCCTGCGCCACATGGCTAGGGTTGATTTTTGTACCATGCGTGCGTTGTATATTAACGCTGATGCATTAAACCTACATGCTAATACGTGCTTGTTTATGAGTGTTATCTTGGTGTGCCCTTGGACTCGGACTCGCTATGCATACTCATATACGTCAAATGCATACGCAGTTCACCCCTCGCTGCCTGATTTTTGCGTGTAATGACCTTTCTTGTTATGAGAGATTCGTGGAACTTTTTTTTTTAATGGAGAGTGAATGGAAAGGTCATTCTTGACGACACAGATCACTGATTAGGCTTTACCGCTTTAGCCTCGAGTAGGTCAGCTACGCTCATTAACTTTTGCTCATTTAATAGCATCAGTCTAGCGCTAACTGCTGGGACATGTCTCTTTTGGTGCATTCAAATGTGGCTGGATTTTGTCGCCTCATAATAGTGTGATGATCATGAGAGGTCTGGGTACAGCGGACTCTGTTAATGGGGTGAACCAGTGGTTTTATCAACGTGTGAGTTATGCAGATGATTCCAGCACGTGTGAACAGCACCTCTGCTGCTTTCCCTCACGAAGCGTGTGCAGCTGATAAGAGGTCACATATGCTGCTACTACAGAACGTCAGCAGCAGTGGAGCTCCATGGCTTCCTTTTGCATTTGCATAGGGATGGGTGGTAAGACCCAGAATTTTATGGTACAAATAAGACAATATGAGCAATTTTATATCACTGTAACAGTACATATTGCAATATGTTATTTTTATACTTGAAATGTATATATACAGTATATATATATATATATTGATATAGTATGTATATATGGATGGTCACATGGATCTACTGATAGTATAACCGGAAAAGCAAAATCACTTCTTCTGTTTGATGGTATATACGGTCATACCGCCCAGCCCTACCTACACTGTAGCATGCATACTCGCACTCGTGACCTTAAACCTTCAGAACCCAAGGATCTTTTTATTGATTGATATTGAGACTCTCCATAACACAAAAAAGAGAGCAAGAGAGAATAAAAAGGTTGGTAAAAAAAAAAAAGATTGATTAGCCGGAGCTCTTGTGCTCCTGGGGAGGGGGTCTCAGAGGAAGGAGATGAGACAGTGGCATGTGAGGGGGATGCGTAGAGGCTGCTAAGTGTGTGTGTTTGCATGCTCTCTGTGTGTGTGTGTGTTGGATGATGGGCGAACACTTTCATTACACTGGCATCCGTACACACGTGTGCACATGCACAACACATTCAGGGCATCTCAAGTAGTCCCTTTAAAATGCTGCAGGCAGGAATGGATTTCCTGTTTTTTAATTTTTTACTTTTGCCAGAAGCCTTCCTGCTGTGATTCCTTTGACATTGATTTAAACGTGCATTAATTCCATAAGCACATCGCACAGTATTATTAGGGATAGGGGGATAATAGTATGCAAGTAAAAATTGAAATTAATTTGTGACCTTTTAGACTGCAAAACAAGCATATGAAAAAATTATGATGATGATGATAATAATAATAAATCTTATTATGTTGTTAAATATTATTAATATGCCAGACTAATTACACTACTGCTTAGAAGTTTGGGCTCAGTACATTTTTTTTAAAATAAATTAATACTTTTGTTGTTTTGATTCATCAAACTGATCAATAAGGACATTTATAATGCTACAAATGATTTCTGTTTCAAATAAATACTGTTGAACTTTCTATTCATCAAAGAATCCTGAAAAAAAAGTATCAGTATTTTACAATCTTACTGTTTTGTGCTGTATGTTTAATCAAATAAATGCAGCCTTTCTGAGCATAAGAGACTTTCAAAAAAATAAACCGACCACTAGGGATGTAACGGTATGAAAATTTCTTATCACGATTATAGTGACCAAAATTATCACGGTTAACAGTATTATCACAGTATTGTTAAAATGTGCTGGAGATGTTCAAAAAGTACCGACACATAAATCACTTCCAAGTTTTATATTTAAAAATCAACAAACAACAAATAAAATGACTTTTTGTTTGCATAATCACTAAAACAATAACATTACCAATGATGTTCGGATTTTAAATGACAACTTGACTGGCAACAGTTTAATAGCATGAAATATCTAATGTAAATGTTCAAATAAAGCTTTGAAAAAGTTATATAAAAAGGGTAAACCTCACATTTCAGCCTTTAAATAAAGAAAAGATGTCAAAATGATAATTGATTAATAAATGATTATATGTATTTTATCTGCTCCATAAATAATTCTAGATAACTTATCTGAATTGTTTAAATGTGTAGAATCCACATAAGCTTGTTTTTCATCAACCGGTCAAAATTTACAGCAGGGCATGCAAATTCGGTCCATTTTGGCCAGACAGAAACTGCACACAGGTTGAGTGTAAATATAAGTCTCTGTAAATCCACTCGCTGACAGCAGGTGGCGCTTATGGAAAAGCAGAATTAGAGCTGTTTCCCGTAAACTCCGTGCACAAAGCAGTATTGCGATTAAGAACACTTCCTTTAGGTATTATTACATGGAGCGAAGATGAAAACAAAATGCCATCGAATCGTTTCTGAAGACAGTCAGAACCTTCAGAGGAACAACCATATAATTAATTCATTCATATATAGGGCTGGATATCGTTAATTTTTTAGATATCGATACCGATACCTTGACTTCGATACCGGTTCCTGAATAATAAAAATTTTTAGATACCAATTTTATGAAATCAATTTTAACAAGATTACATTATCTAAAAAAAAAAATTTTTTAGCTTATTGATGTTTATACAAACGCTGAATGTAAATGTAAGTCTCTGTAAATCCACTCGCTTGACAGCAGGTGGCGCTTATGGAAAAGCAGAATTAGAGCTGTTTCCCGTAAACTCCGTGCACAAAGCAGTATTGCGATTAAGAACACTTCCTTTAGGTATTATTACATGGAGCGAAGATGAAAACAAAATGCCATCGAATCGTTTCTGAAGACAGTCAGGACCTTCAGAGGTACATTCATATAATTAATTCATTCATATATTCGTTTGTATAATTCTTTTAAAACCTCCCAGCTTTTCCGCCCTGTTTTCACTCAAAACGAAACTACTCTGAGTGCTGTGTGCACATGAGACTGTTATTTACAGTATTTATTTATTGTGAGTTGTTCAAATCGCGGTAATCTATTAGATAATTAAAAGATGAAACGGTAATACTAACCGGGGGGAATTTTATCATGATTTATCGTCAAACCGGTAATCGTTACATCCCTACCGACCACAAACTTTTGAATGTAGGTTATAATATATAAATGACTAATCAATGTAATAATAATGTTTATAAAATGTTATTAAAAATGTAATTAAAATGTAAACTCACAAGTTTTAGCTATATGTATTGGTATCATTCTCTAGTCTCGTTGTTTTCAAGAATTTTTCAACAATAGCTTAGCGAGGCGGTTTAAAATACTGCAGATATAATAAGATTGGGCTGAAACCGTGCAGAGGTATGGGCTACAGTATGTGACCTCATTTCATCAGAGCTCAGCAGCTGGTAATATGTGCTTTACAGACTCTCTTCGTAAAGTCTTCGCTGTTTGATTCCATGCAGTTCACTGCATTTTAAAACTGTGACATAAATGGCACCCTGTAAGTTGCCTGCTCGTTTTTGCACCCGCTATTCCAGGCCTAGTGTAAGAAAATAAAGGGAACTGAATAAGCTCAATCATCATCTGTGTGAAACAGAGAGGGGAGAATTCGTGCAAACAGTCATCAAAAATGCATGGCAGCGGCCCTGTAGAATATTGATGCTGCGGCCTCCTGTAAACCGAGGCAGCATCACACCAGGTGTCCTCCAGGAATCCTCTCCACAAACAGACACTAACGGGTGGGGTGCGCTAGCCAAATGATCCAGTGCGGCATGGCGATATTAAGGCATGTGTGGTTTTCTGCCGTACCCCTGGGGTTTAGACGACTTCCCTTCTCACAGTGCTTATTGACACAGACACACACGCACGGTTCTTTATATATCTCTCTCTCTCACACACACACACACACTTTATCTCTCTTCTCGATCACACATGCAAAGGAAGTGCAAAACGGCATATTTTCAAGATCAGCTAACATGAGGGTTGACGGAACAACTAGTCGACTGATGTGTTTTAAGGAAGGCCTATAATTAAACTGGTTCGGGTTCACCTGACCGCAATCAGACGCACGTTTCAAAGGGACCTTTACGTAAGACACGTTCTTCTGTTCAAAAGTGCTTAGATGGAGCGAAACAGAAAGCATGGGTCTTGAGAAAAGTCATTTTGAGACTATTTTTAGTGTAAAACACTCACAAAAATGCTGCTTTTAAGGCGCAAGCGAGTTTTACTGTGAAAATCGTCTAACAGCAAAAGTTTACAAGCATGTTAAATAAAGCACAGACGCTCTAAATATCAAAAACATCTAGTTTTTCCATGACTTATGTCTGTTTCTTAGTAGTTTCCTCTGACAACAAACCCAAAACCCATAGCTATGGTTTTTAATTCAAGGATGTGCAACCGTTGCTAAATCCAGGGTCAGCTTTTCTTCTTCTTTCAACTCCCAGTTCATTAGCTGTAATGAAGTTGTGCTGAGGGTTAGTACTAATTCAGATGACTGTTACGAGCTCAGGATCTTCACAGTCACAGCATGTCTCTTGATTTCCCAGCATTTACGGCGGAGTGCATTCTTTTTAGATGTGTCCTCTGATGTTGGCCTTTTGACCTATAATTTTTTCTCCCTTTCGTTTCTCAGTATGGGGAAGAGGAGGTCTGCTCAGACCGCCTGGATGCTGACTTCCCTGACTTTGACCTCTCGCAACTGGACGCCAGTGATTTTGACTCAGTGAACTGCCTCAGTGAGCTGCATTGGTGCAATGAGCACTCCGATCACTCCCCTGCCTCCATACAGTACAGCGGCGGGAACCCAGAGCTATTCGAGGTGGGAACCGTCATCTGAACTTCCTTTATTGTGCAATGTAGATTGTGATGATTAGTAGTATTTGTAATTCTTCAGTAAGTCTCTGTCCCAAATGATGCACTTGAAATGAATCCATCCAGAATTATGTCAAGATTGGACTTGAAGGGCTGTAAGGGCTGAGGGCAAAATTTGGGAAAGGCATTAGTCTTAAAGGGATAGTACATGCAAAAATGAAAATTCTGTCATAATTCACTGAATAGCATGCACGAAAAAAGTTCCACGAATCTCTCATAACAAGAAAGGTCATTACACGCAAAAATCAGGCAGCGAGGGGTGAACTGCGTATGCATTTGACGTATATGAGTATGCATAGCGAGTCCGAGTCCAAGGGCACACCAAGATAACGCTCATAAACAAGCACGTATTAGCATGTAGGTTTAATGCATCAGCGTTAATATACAACAAACGCATGGTACAAAAGTTCTCTTTTTTAATATATATATTTTTGTCAATCTAATGAAGGTCCAAGGAACCAAAATTTTCAAGCATCAAAAAGTAAAACAAGACATTTGAAAAGTAATCAATATGAATCGAGTGCTTTAATCTAAGTCTTCAGAAGAGACTTGATTGCTTTATATGACGAACAGATTTAATTTAGGCTTTTATTCACATATAAACTTTGATCAATGCACATATATAGAGCACATCAAGTATGGTATGCCAGAATAAACCTCATAGATTGTTTACCATATTTGACGTGAATTATGTATATGCATTCATACATGTTCATAATGTTAATAAAAGCCTTTTATGTTTAAAATGTATTTTCGTACATTTTGATGCATGAAAGTTTTGGTTGCATGGAGAGTATTAAATTATTAAGAATATTAGAATGTATGCTTTCATTTGAGTGTCAAAGATGAAGGTAAATTATCACAGAATTTTCATTTTTGGGTGAACTAAAGCCTAGTTCAGTAAACCTTTTACTGTACGACAATGGTGTAAGATTAAATCTAACTGCTAGTCAAAGCCATGGCGTAGTGGTTAGTGCAAATGCACATTCTGATGTTATTTTGAGCCATGGTGCTCATGTGGGTGTTGCAGGTTTGAGTCTGACCTGCAACGGTTTCAATCCTGATTTTCCCTTCTTTTATGAATAACCTCTGTCCACTGTTTCCGTCGTATAAAGAGGTAGAAAATATTAGACATATACAAACTGTGTAAGTGTAGGTTTTCCTTATCTTTGCTTTGCAGAGCATTTGCCTTCATTTCTTTCTCGTTGTTTCAGGAAGAAAATGCGGCACTGCTCGCTGCCCTCACAGACAGCCTGGATGGCATTGTTGAGGACGGAGTCGGGGGTCTGTCTGTGTTCCCTTCGCTGGGGGACGACCCTGAGGAGGGTGAGGAGGAGGAAGATGACCTCCCTTTGGACAGTGAGCCCCTCCCTGGCTCATTGAGCCCAGAGACAGAAGACCCATCTCTAGTAAGAACCCTTCCTTCCTGTTTAAGGTGGATTTGGATGGGCCTCTGACTACCCCACAGCATGGGTATGATAGGCAACACAGGTCTGAATTTTTCTCATTTTGGGCTTTTTGTTTCATTTTAAGCAACCGATCTAACAAGAATCCTCTTCACAGGCAGGGGTGTGGAACATGGACACTGCTTTTTCTAGGCTTTCATTTTGCCACACATCCCATTGCTCTCATCTTCTTCTGAGCCTTATAAGAAAGTACTGTGGTGATACCCAGTGTTGGGCAAGTTACTTCCAAAATGTAATACATTATATATTACTAGTTACTGTCTTTTGAAAGTAATTAGTTACATTACAATATTACTGTCTCTGAATTGTAATGCATTACACTACTTTTGAGTTACTTTTGAGTTACTTTCATCCAAAATATCCACATAACCATGGTATTGTGATAGTATCTGATGGCAATAGCATGGTACTTTGATATATTCCATGGCAGTGTATGAATACCATGCTATTGAAATTGCACACTGCCATTCAAAACTGTGGGTCAGTAAGATTTTTGCCATCACAGGAATAATTTACATTCAAAATAGGGATATAACGATTCACTCAACTCACAATGCGATACGATTGGATTCACAATACGATTTTCTCAAAAACAATTTAACAAAATGAGATATAAGATAACAATCTTACCTTTTTACTGTATTTATGATCAAATAAATGTAGCCAAACTTTTAAACAGTAGTGTACTTCAGAAAATCCCATGCCATTACCATCGTGATAATGTCCAAAAACATGGCGATACCATGGTACTTTTTTAAGGGAATGCTTATGTATACTTCCCAGATCTTTGATTCCTTCAGGTCACGAAATGGACTTCTACAGCAGTGCTCTTTGCTCCTTTTTCCCACCTTTTGTGAGAGAACTCAACTCTCATCTCTTTCTAAAGACACCACTTCCTGGAACAAGTTGGTGTGTTTTTATCTGTCCCTCTCGGCTCACAAACCCCAACAATTTAATCTGTGTACATTGTAAAAGCAGTTATAACAGTTATTACCCGTTGGACAGCTTTTCATTTTTACTTTCTTCTTTTTTCTCCCCTTTTTCTCACTGCTCTTTCCTGTAACGCTGAACAATGGGTTGGCATGGCTGTATTGTAATGTAGCTGTTTTTCCAGTTTGTCGTGTGTTTTGTGATTTTTTTTTACCTTAGAGACTGGTAGTACTTATGTTAATGACTGTCTTACATTTCACTGAATACCTTTCAGAATTGACATTGTTCTGGGATCACATTGTTTGGCGCCAATGAAAGGCCACCATCTGATTACTGAGATAATCATTGCCTCAGAGATACCAAAAAAGGCTAGCTTACAGAGTGTAGCAGCAAATTATATAAGAGATGTCTGAAGGAGGGACAAATTATTCTTAAATTGATGAAAAGTATGTATATCCATCTGTGAATAAGACTACTTTTATGGTGCCACTAGGGCTGGAAATACCTGTAAATATAACCTGTTAACAGTTTGTAGTTTTGCCATGAAAACTATAATTTACAATCATGCAACATGGAAAAAGTTCTAAACAAAACATTTCACAGAAGTGAAATATTACTCAAAAGTAATACTTTGCAGTAAGGTTCAATACATTATACATATATTAAAAATACTGTATATGTATCTATACAGTGTGTATATATATATATTAGGGCTGTCAAAATATCTGAAAAACTACATTCGAATTTTTTACTTAAATATGATCAAATTATATGATGTTCGAATTATATTCGAATTTAAAATGCATAATTTCAGTTAGGGTGAAGAAAAGCTTTTGGCTTCTCTCGTGAGGCCACAAGAGGGCGCATCGAGCAAAATATTACTAATGCACGTTTATTCAAAGTGCATAATGTTTAAAATAATGTTTATAAACCAATTATAATTAAGTTGCTTAAACAACTATAAACAAAACAGTATATATATATATATTCAGTGCATTAACTGACACTGAAATATACTATCATTCATCATTAATTAATGTGTTCATAATACATTGATATTAATTTATACAACCTGAAATGTAAAAAATATGTTCAGTCTGTTCAAAGATTTCTGAAGGACGATGTGACACTGAAGAGTAATGACTGCTGAAAATTCTGCATTGCATCAAAGGAATAAATTAAATTTAAAAAAATTATATAATTATTAAATTCTATTATTATTATTAAAATATAATAATTATTATATTCATAAAATAGAAAACAGTGAAATTGCAATGATATTTCACAATATTACTGTTTTTACTGTATTTTTGTTAAAAATAAATGCAGCCTTGGTGAAAATAATAGGCTTTTTATAAATAAATATAAATAAATAGACACACAGACTTTTGAATGGTAGTGTATATAAACGAGTTAACATTCACCAAGATTAATACATTTTATAAGAGTGTTGTTATAGTTATTTCATGTTAACTATTTCAGTAACTAATGTTAACAAATTGAACCTTATTGTAAAGTTCCAATATGATTAATAGAGTTACTGTCGATTATTTAGTCTTTTTACAATCTTTCATCCTAGAAAAGAAATTCCTGAATGTTACAAGTCGAGACAGATGCATTTCTCTGTTAGATGATTTGGTAACAATGGAATAGTTTCAGTGTAATTTAGCTTCCTCCTTGAGTCTCAGTGTAAGAGCTTAGTCCGGGTGTAATAGCTGAGATCCCCCTCTGCTGGCAATGGCCGCAGTTACACCTCAGCCCCTGAATGAGGCCAGTCTGTGTGCAAAACAAGGGGTGCATTGAAGACCCACGAACAGGGACAGCAGAGCACATGTTTTCATGACATAGATGGCCAGTGCATGCCAAAACGGTTTGGTACGCAGAAGCTGAAACGCTCAGTGCCCCTTCAGTTTCCTCAATGGACACTGAGAGACATGGACAGACCTGCCAAGTTGGCACATTAACAATCGCTAAAGGGACTCAACAAAACTGTGCTTCTTCTTTCTTTGCTTTCTCTAGTTGCGCTGGTCATTTAGGACTTGCATTTCAGATTTTCTTGAATATCCAGTAACTTTTAATGTCTTGTTCTTACAGTGGCTACAGCACAGAACTGCTTGACACTTGCTCTTGTTGTTGTATTTGAGTACTGAATGTCAACATGCCAATATTTCTTGATTTTGTGTGTAATTTTAAATGCACCATGGATCATCAAATTATAACCCCTGGCCTCTCATTCCCTCCACAGCTCAAAAAGCTCCTGTTGTCGCCCCCTAATGTCCCCGCGGGCCTCGATTCGCACAAAGACATGCATCGCCATAGCAGCAGGAGCCAGCAAGTCAAACCTGTGAGGCCCGTGCTCAAGGTGAGAGGAAGTTCCAGCCGCCGTGATTGCAGTTTAAACTCAAAACATGTGATGCAATGTCATAATAGGAAATGGATTTAACAACCTCAGTGTTAGCACGCATGCTATTCACTACCCGTTTAAGCTACGGCATATTCCCGCAGCAATGCTAATGCCTAATTAGCTTATGCCAGCCTTTAGAAGCCACACTGAGGATTTGTGCTTCAAAGTTTCAAAGCCTGTGAAGCCTGTGGTTCCTCATTCACTGGCTCCGCTTTGGCACGCTGCACCTCGGCTAAGGCCGCTGTCGCATTAGAGTTGAGTGCAGCCATCTGTCATAGCAAAGCCACAGCCTCTGCCCAGCCTAAAGGGCAATGCTCACTGGGTTTGAGATTACTTAAAAGAACAAGCAGTAGTTCCTCAGATACCAAGAGAATATCTTGCAACTAACCTAGGCAAATTTGTCACAGTAACCTTAGAGCGAAGTACACTCTGAAATAGACTTTAGGGGTTTCAGCTGCCCCGCATTCCTCGCGTGTTTGGTCATCTCATAAGGCCGTTACAAAAGATAGCTCGCTACATACCACTGATGAATGCCATGAGCAAATGCTTAACACTATAACCGTTTCGAAGGGGTTATTTTTCATTTTTATTACATCTGTCATTACAGTGCTAAAACAGTTTTGGCACATGTGGTTTATTTTAATTGTATTTCTTTTTTTATAAATTGTTGTAAAACATTAAAATCTGATTAGATTTCTGTAAAATGTGATTGGAGCTTATTTATTGTTGTTTTTATTTTAATAATTGAGTAAATAATATATACTACTATTATAAAGATAGAATCAAAAGAATCGAAACAAAAATAAATATAAAAAATATAAATAGTGCAACAAAAAAAAACTACCGTTCAAAAGCTTTTCTTTGTGTATGTGTGGTTTTGAAAGAAGTCTCATATACTTGACAATTAATTGATCAAGTATTGAGACCAGTAATATTCTAAAATATTATTACAACTTAAAGTATCTGTTTTCTGATTTCATATATTTTAAAATATTTTTATTTCTGTGATCAAAGCTGAATTTTCAGCATCATTACTCCAGTCTTCAGTGTCACATGATCCTCAGAAATCATTCTAATATGCTGATTTGCTGCTCAAGAAACATTTTTGATTATTCTCAATGTTGAAAACAGTTCAAATTTTTGTGGAAAGTTCAAAAGAACAGCATTTATTTGAAATATAAATCTTTTGTAACATTATAAATGTCTTTAGTGTCACTTTTGATCAATTGAATGTGTCCTTGCTGAATAAAAATAATAATATTGACCCAAAACTTTTGAATGGTTGTGTACATTTTAAATAATTGTTTCTTTAGTGAAAAATATTGTCCTGTACTGTTGACAGCTTTTCATAAAAGCAGTAATTCACTTGAGGTTGCGTGTAACAGCGATTTTACCGCATATCTCATCAATTAATGGACAGCCTCTTGAGCCTTTTTGCTTTATTATGTTTCAGTTGTATTTTATATGAAAAGATTAAATGAAATGTCTCCTCCTCCCTCCGCAGAAGGACAAATCAAGCACACAGGAGCGTAAGCCACGACCAGTGAGGCCCTCCGGTCGTCTTTGCACTGAACTCCACCGCCACCTCACCACCGCGCAGGAGGCTGAGGAAGAGGAGGAGGAGGAAGATGAAGAGGACAGTGACTCGGAAGAGGAGGAGTCATCCAGCAGCGAGGGCGAGAGCATGGTGTGCGTCGAGCCGGCAAAGCCTCAGTTCTCCTCGGAGAAGGAACTGCACTCTGTAGTGGAGCTCATCAAATACATGCACACGTACTGCCTGCCCATACGCAAACAGGCCAACTGGGATCGCAAAGAGCGTAAGGCCAAGCCCGAGAGCTCGCAGGTCTCCCGCAGCCTTCCTGTGAACTCTCAGAAACCGGCTCCCCAGACCAGGCCGAGGGCTCCTTTCACTCGCCGCAGGGAAATCAAAGCCCACTCCCTGCTGAAGGAGCTGCTAGAGGCCGTCAGCTCCTTTGACGTAAGCAAGCCTTACAGAATGCACAGCCCCCCTTATATCCACTGCAGAGGGGCTGCGACTCGGCTCGGCGCTGACCTTTCTTCCTCCTCTGCACGTCAGCCCAAAGCCGAACCTAAAGACTCGGACTGCGAGAGCTCGCAGAAGGCCACAAAGCGCACCAAGAGCCCCGAGCCGGAAGAAGGCTCCTTTTCGGTCAGGCGTTCTCGCCGACTGGCCTCCTTCCCCAGCCGATTCGCTAAGAAAGTGCGTGTGAACTGTGGCCGGTCGGAACCCAGTGTTGTGCAATCGAGCGAAGAGGAGAACGCGGTCAAGCATCCTCCCACTGAGCCTCCTTCTGATAGCAGGCAGAAGAGCAGCTCCCGCAAGGCGTCTGAAGCCCATAACTCATGCAGCAATGATGGTAAGACATTAGTCACCTGAACAGCACACGAGGGAAAAATACTGCAAGTTCCCTCCTAAAACTATAGATTCACATGCATATTATTTATGCATGTATTTATTTTTGTGTATCTGAATCTGTTATTTATTTTTTTTTTTAAATAATTCATGTGTAATTCATGATTCATGGTTAAATAATTTTCAGTTCAGTTGCTGAATTAAAATGTAATCAAATATCAGTTTAGATTTATATCCAAAATAGTTATGATTTATATCGAATATAAATTTGACAAATTTGAATCTCTTTGAATGACCAAAAAAAAATAAAAAATTTATATATTTATATTTGTCAGTAGATTTAAACTTTTCTTTCCTTAAAGAACTTCTGTTTACTGTTGGTATTGTGTGTGTATGTGTGTGTGTGTGTATACTATAATGTATATTATTCTATGCAATTTATATAGATTTCTTTCATAATTTATATAGATTTAAATAAATTTATATATATTTATATTTGCCAGTAGATTTTAACTTTATCTTTCCTCAAGGAACTTTTTTGTTCTGTAGTTCTTCTGAAAACCATCTATTTAGTGGTGCTTTTAAGAACCCAGAAACCGGATGCTGATGTGAACAACCATTTGTACCATTAAGCATGATTTTAATATTCAGAGAGCCAGCTCAGGAACTCTACTGCGTGTGCTGTTGAGATCTCTAACATCTGTCTGTCGTTCTGATTGCAGAGAAACGCTCCTGCCTCTGTTTGCCGCTGGCGTCCAAATCCAACGGGTGTGTGTTCCTTTCATATCTAATCTATTCTTGAGCCCTGGAACACTTCCAGGCCGACAGTTTAAGACCACCGCCGGACTCCGTCCATCTTCAAAATTGCCTAGAGGAGGCTTGTAGAGCTGCTGTTTTTACATACAAAACTCTCGCAGTAAAACTTTTCTATAAATAGCCCTGAGGTTCTTCTACCAATTACAGTCATTTGTTGTTCTCTGCATATACATAGCTCAGACATCGTGTGAAGTAAAACAACCGAGATCAATCAAACCCTGCTCCAAATGTCATTAGTAGACAAATATAAACCTCTAAAACAGTAAATCTGATGCATTTAGTTGAGACTGTATCCTTTCCTCTCTCTCTCTCTCTCTCTCTCTCTCTCTCTCTCTCTGTTTTTCTTGTCCATGTAAGGGTTTAATAGACTGCAATCTCTTTCTGTATTTCTCTGATCAGAGACGTGCAGTATGCCAACAAGCCCTTTGAGCAGACTCTCTCTGTGGAACTGTGTGGCACAGCAGGTAATATTGCGCACTCAGTGAGGGGTATTTTTATAAGTGTGCCATTTTTGGCATTGTGTGAGCTATTAGCACTTGATTCACCTCATATGTTCTCACACATGCTAGTAGCTTGCCAGTATTTGCACAGGATTTATGTAGCTGATGACGTGTCTGAATTAGGCTAGTGAATGTCTAAATGAACTGAATGGTAAAGGGCTTTGTGTTATTACTGGGCCCTGTCCAAACAAATGTTCAAGCATTTACATAAAAGAAGATTATTCTGTATATGTATGCTACTGTTGAAAAGTTTGGTGTCAGTAAGATTTTTTTAAATGTTTTTGAAAAAAGATGCTCACCAAGGCTGCATTTATTTGATGAAAAACAGTAATATTGTGAAATATTATTACAATTTAAAATAACTGTTTTCTATTTGAATATATTTTAAAATGGAATTTATTCCTGTGATCAAAGCTGAATTTTCAGCATCATTACTCCAGTCTTCAGTGTCCCATGATCCTTCAGAAATCATTCTAATATGATGATTTGCAGCTCAAGAAACATTTCTGATTAATATTTAATATTAATATTCATGTTCAAACTGTTATACTTCTATGCAGGATTCTTTTTTTCAGTATAAATGGATCAAAAGGACAGTATTTATTTGAAGTAGAAATCTTTAGTAACATTATAAATGTTTACTGTCACTTTTAATCAATCGAATGTGTCATTGCTGAATTAAAAGAAAAAAATGTGAACAGTGATGTGTACATATGTAACATTTCTGAAGTTTAATGCTTAGTTTTAGAGGTTTGTATGAGCAATAGCACTGGAGATAATTGCCTTAGCAACCACCACTACTAATAACTGATTCAAGTTAATCTTTCATTATTATATATTATACACGCTTCATATTATGTATGACTCCTTTTGTAAGCTTCATTAATGATGTTCATTTTCTGCCTGTTGTGCGCTGCGACTAATAACAGAATGTTTGGTGATATTCAAGTGCGTTTGGTCGTGGCGCTCATGTGTGTGTCGTAGTGATTAATGAGTGTGTGTTTTCCAGGCCTGACTCCCCCCACCACACCCCCTCATAAACCAGTGGAGGACGAGCTCTTCAAACCAGACGGAAAAGCTGAGCTCACCACCAAAAGCTCTTGCCTGGCGCGGGCGCACATACGCAAGCTCCCAGAGCAGACGGAGCTGTACGCCCAGCTGCGCCGGATGGGCCAAACGGGCGACTCGGACGCTAAGGGAGGGACGCAACGGGCGTACGGGGACCACGATTACTGCCTGTTGGGCCTGGGAGAGAGTTGCAAGGCGATGGCGGCTGCACTCGGCTCTCAGTGCCGTGTGGAGGTGCATGAGAAGGAGGAGATGGCTGTGAAGAACGGGGAGCTGGAGGGACTGGAGGAGAGGCTCCTAACCGATTGCCAGCAAAGGACTGAGGCTGATTCGCCCGTGGCGTTGTCTACGCCCGGTCCAGAGCAGACCAGTCAACCCTCACCTGTCCGCCCTCCCACCCCAGAGCTGGATGCCCAGTCCCCAGTTTCCTGTTCGCCCCCCTCCCCCGGCTGCAAACTCCCCTTCAGGTACTGAATACTCCGGTGCTTTTTCCATTGTTGCGTTTCGTTGAACTCAGAAATTCTGAACTTCTGACTTTGAAAAGTTCAATAGAATGCCACTTATGTGAAGCCCAAATGTGTGTGTATGATGTCTAGGGCATACCCCCCTAATAGACAACTAAACATTAGTCGACCTGAATAATAGTCAGTTAGTCATAGAATAAAAATAAAACGGACAGATTGTTAACGGCTGGTCCTTGAGGTAATTACAGTATATCGGGTTGGAAATCCAAACTTTCGTCTAGCATTCATCGAACTCAAATATGTCTTATCATTTCGAATTTAAAGGGGTCATATGATGCTGCTAAAAAGAACATTATGTTGTGTATTTGGTGTAATGAAATGTGTTTATATAACAAAACAGAAGAACAATATCATTGGAATCACTCTCAGAATGACTTTTTCCAACTGATGAATGATAAAACACTGTCAGCCAATCAGAGTCCACCTGACTTTAAAGAGCTGAGCATTTAAAACAGCGGACAACAAAACAAAAACTAAGACGCTAATATAGTTCTCATTACAGCTATCCTAATAATGAACAGGCCTTTATTCTGGTTTTGTGTATTGATTATTCAGATTACATGGATTCATGTTAAAATTTTAATAGTGTTGCCACAGAAATGCATAATTCTGAGAAAGCAAACAGGGTCCTGGCTTGCCATTAATTACGGTAATTACAGCATGGTGTGAACGCAGCACGAGTTAAAGTTCCTACATCACATCAGAAATGTTTGGCAGTGATATAGATGTTAAAAAAAGTGTAAACCTGCAGTATCACTGCCAAAAAAAAAAAAAGATTTTCTTATTTAGTCTTTTTTTCTTGTTTTTAGTACAAACACCTCTATGTTTGGAAATCAGAGATATCACCCTTATGAAAACTAACCATGTTTTTATTACAGTAAAAGTGTAGTACCAAAAAGTGTAGTTTTTTGGTGTATTGATTACCATTTGTATAACCACAGTTTTACTACAAATACCATGGTTAAACTATTGTTAGTGTAGCAAAACCATGGTTAATTTGTGGTTACCATGGTTTAACTATAGTAAGCATGTTTTTTTTTGTTTGTTTGTTTTTTTGTAGTAAACCAATGGTTAATTTTAATAAGGGGGGAAATATCCTACCTGTACATCTGCCTTTGAATGAAATGCAGCACAAATCCCAGTGCCGCTCTGCTATTAGCAATATGCTAACTAGACTTGTGCCGGTATTCGGTAATGCGATATATCACGGAACTACTTTCTTTTTCAATTTATTAGCCATTTTGAGTAAGTCAGCCCTGTTCTCCTTCTTTCAGCGATGAGAGCTCAGAGACATGCCACGGAGCAGCTGAGAAAAGGAGCAAGACAAAGTGTGGACAAGAGAATGATGTGGTAGGTCGTGTTTTCAAACCGATTTTATTAGTCGCAGCACTAACCTCATTATCAAAGCCCGTAGATGCATCTGATGTCTGATTCGTTTCCTTTAATTGCCGTCGAGTGTATTCTAATCCGCTGTGCATTTGCAGAACAAGTGCCAAGTGATCTACATTCACAACCTTCCGAGCAGCGTCACTCAGGCCATGCTGCGTAAGCGCTTCGAGGCCTTCGGTCGGCCAGAGGACTGTAAAGTGGTCATCAAAAACGAGTGGGTTCTGTTTCCATCTACTTCCCTGAGCTTATCGTGCCCTGAGGGGGAGAATGGAGCGCTGATGTTGCTGTGTGTTTGTGTAGGGAGCGTTGTGGGGTGATCACGCTGAGAGCCGCTCAGAACGGCCAGACCTCACGGCACAGGTGGGACTCGCTCGGTCCGAGCGGAGGGAGCGGCAGCCGGCGATAAATAGACCTTGTCACTTCTGAGGATCGGAGGTCATTGGGGCGGGAGGATTACAAAGGAACAGAAACAGCTCTGAGACACTGGACACAAGTGCTGCTTCTCGTGTGTGGTTGATGCCATTCGTGATGTTGCGAGCGGCTCGGGCTTCGTAGCAAACCGCACTCTTTTCCATCGGTTGTTGTGACGTTCGTGTGCTTTTTTCTGTTTTTTGTTTTTTTTATTTGTAACCCTTTGTCACTCTTCTTAGACCTGCAAGGTGCTTTCACCGTTTTGTCGTACAAATATAGAAACAATAACAGCTTTGTATTAGCAAAACTTTGTGGATGTTCAACTCTGTGTGTGTGTGTGTGTGTGTGTGTGTGTGTGTTACGATGGATTAAAAAAAAACGACAAACAAAAAAATCCTACAAGGTAGAGTTTACAGATCAATAAGACAAGAAAAAAGTAGTCTTTTTGTAATTTTAGTGCTTCCTTGATTTCATCTATGCACTCAACCGAGGTAGTGCTTCTTTAGTCTGGCCTCTGCCCTCCTCTGGTGTTTAAGGGGCTTTTGCTGCTGGCTGTCAGACACAACCGAGTCCAAACCCGACTGTGCTACCTTAAAGCTGAAGTGTCATTTTTTTTGACGTTAAAATACTCCAATTCCAGCCAAAAACTGTTCAAGTAAACACAAATCCTAAAAAGAGTATCAAAACATCTCTGTTTGTTTGAGCAGCCTGACACATTAGGGGCGGAGCTTTCTGTTTGGCTGACCGATTGGAAACCTGTTTGAAAACAGTCATTATGTTTGGTGCCGAGCTACACACTTCATCTTTAATTCACCAGTTGCTGTTACTGTTTTACTTGTCGGAATGCGACCCAATCTGGTTTAGAATCCCAATCTGGCGGAAATGGTTTTCAAGAATGTACCTACCACAAATGCGATTGTAATGCCCATCCTATTGGTCTAGATTCGAAAGTACAGTTGAGCGTTTAGACTCTGCCAGTAGCATAGCCCTACCAGACATCCAGGCTTTTGCTGAGAGAAGGGTGGCGGTAAACTAGGAGGAAGATCTTTCCAGAGCTCAATCTCATTAGAGATACGGTCGTATCTCTGCTTTGTTTACATGTCACTCTCTCATTACTCTTTCTCTCTATAAGCTCAAACACTCTTTTTTTTACTCTCTCCTTTCTGACAGGGGAAGATCTGCGGGTTTTTTCTAGCTCTTACCTTGTGGCTACTTCTCTCTTTGTCCTTTGTGTGTGTTTTTTGAAGTCTAAACATGTACCAGTGTATAACTGCGTGTCGTTCGTGTCTTTTACGGGGTCTAGGGATGGCTCCATCCCTTATTATATGCTGGGACCTCTTGCTTTTATTCTGCGTGGGTCTCCTCGAACCTCCGGCCTGTGGATCTAGTGCAGTTGTGAGCGTGTTTGTGTGTGTGTGTGTGTGCTGGTTTAGGGAGAGCCGTCAGGCTCTCTTTACTCCCTAACTCTCCCCTTTAGCCAGAAACACACCCCAAACCTGAATGTTTACATGACTGAATTCTCTTTCGACTTTTACTAGAGCGCACACTAAGTACAGAACGCCTTATTCAGTATTTAGGTACCCTATTAGGATGTGCCTTTTGGCTTTCCCTTTTACGGTACTGAGCTGTAACTTGGACACGGCCTCTGAATATTACAGCCGCTTTTGTCCAATTTCCCCTATAAGATCTTCAGAAAACAAACTGAATGAGTGTTTGTGCTTAGTATGTATACTACAAAGTAAGTGAGAGATGTGCTGGTTTACATGATTATATATATATATATATATATGGAGAAGTATATAATGTGTATATAGCACTGTGTCTTGTGTAAACATGAGATGTATGGATATGTGCTGTACAGCGATGGGGTAACGTGTGGTTTTAAAGGGTGGCTCTGATTGGTTGTTGGTGAACCCGATGATGCAGGATTAAGCAATACAGGGAGATCCAGAAGGGAATTTTTCATTGATATGGCTTCATAAGTCAAACACAGTTGTATAAAGTGTCCCTTTAGAAATGGTTCTTTTTAATGACTTTAAGATTAAACGTTTTTCTTTTTTTATGCAATTGAGATGCAATACCGCTGAGAGATCTAAGAAAGCTTTTCTTATAACGGAAGGCTTTATTGAAGAGATTGGTTGTATTAAGAGTAATCGAATCCTGTACTGTATGTTGTAGACGGCTCAGATCGTTCGAAAAGAAGGTCGACGTTTAGAATCGCTGGACTGAGGGACTTTTTTTGTTAGGAAAATACACAGACAGCCCAGTCTCACAGGGAGAGCCTTAAACCTTAGAGGAAAATAAAGCTATCAGTCCTATCTGATCTCCTGTACAATCCAATGTGTTCTCTTCACTAAGTAAACTTTTTCAATACAGCCATATTATAAAAGGTATATACATATATATGATTATATAAATACATATATATATATATATTTGTGTTTGTGTAGATAAATATATAGATGATATAATTTGTTATAGACCATTTTATTCAGTGTTTCAGAACTCTTCAATACATTTCAACACTGTCAATCTAGAATGTACAGATTCAAATTAAAAAGAATTTTAAAAAAAGGTAAAAAAAGAGAAAGAGAGAGCGCATGTGATTTCTTCCTGTTTTTTATTAGTTCATACAAAATGTCACTTTTAATTCACTACATCCATGGCCTGGCAATTTGTCGTTCACAAAGTACATGCTCTTGCAAGATAGGAGAGAATTTTCCTCTTGAATCAGCAGTGATTATATTCGGGGAAAGTTTATATTGTCTGTGCTAAACCGTGGATCATTTTTATCAAGAAGTGGATCTAGCATTTGTGTCATTACGGTGTCAGAGCATCAGTTAATGGATCATGCATCCATGTCGCATCGTTTTGCTGCTTCAAGACATTTTCTTTTGTGGAAACAAAATTTGAGTCAAAGGGCATACATTCTTCTTGTTTTTTTTTGGACTATTTACATCTAATGACTATCAAATTTGCTATGATTTTCCTTTTTTAATGTAGTTTTCGGTAAATACTGCTAGTAAGATTTTTTACATATGTTTTGAGTTTTTTATTTTATTTTTATTTATATGCCACTTAGCTTGGAAGTCTTGAAATGGTATTGGTTTTATTTTCTAATTTTTTTTTCTCTGTATTGTGTGATCTTGAGAATGTGGAGACAAATGCATTTCAGTATTTTTTAAATTGTTAACCATGTCGCATCGTTTTGCTGCTTCAAGACATTTTCTTTTGTGGAAACAAAATTTGAGTCAAAGGGCATACATTCTTCTTGTTTTTTTTTGGACTATTTACATCTAATGACTATCAAATTTGCTATGATTTTCCTTTTTTAATGTAGTTTTCGGTAAATACTGCTATAGTAAGATTTTATATTTTTTACATATGTTTTGAGTTTTTTATTTTATTTTTATTTATATGCCACTTAGCTTGGAAGTCTTGAAATGGTATTGGTTTTATTTTCTAATTTTTTTTTCTCTGTATTGTGTGATCTTGAGAATGTGGAGACAAATGCATTTCAGTATTTTTTAAATTGTTAAAATCTAGTTTCCTAGATCAAATCTATATAGTGGAAATTATTTGATGTCATAAATTATATTTTAATTCCTGTAAATATTTTAAAAAAGCAGATGATGGCTTCCTTTTGAACGGAACACATTTCTCTTCCGAGATTGTTTACATTATTAAACTGTAGAAACTGCTCCTCATATACTGTAAAAAAAAAAAAAAAAAAAAGTACATATATTCATTGTGTTGCCTCCAAAAAATAAAATCCATAATGAACAACATTCAACTTTGTGATTCATTAATGTACTGCATTACTATATTATTTATTCCAAATAAATGCTGCAGTAAACCGCAATAATACCTTGCACAGAATTCAACGCTATTCTTGGAACAAGTGCTGAATAGCAACTTGAGAAAGGATTTTGAAAAAACCCAGCAGAATTAAGTCCGTCACTTTTTTTTTCACTTGTTCCAAATGACATTCCGCATTGCATAAACAGAATAGTTCAGCCGGAAACCCTCTGATTGGTTGCCGCATTGAAATGGCAGCCAATGGCAAGTGGCATTCTGTGCTGTATCCATGGAGAGTGCCTACATTTTTAGATGGTGAAGCTAATTGTGGCGGTTCCTTTCACTGAGGGTATGCAGCAGAACATGCTGAATGAGAGCACTGTTAACGCAGCCATTCGGAGAGCTGGTGGCAATTTGCCGCTCTGCTGGTTTGTGATTCAGATGTCAGAATAATCATTCCCTACGGCACTGTGTGTGTGTGTGTGTGTGTGTGTGAGAGGGATGCACATCTATCTGAGTAGGTGTGTGTATTTGCGGTCACGTCAGAGCTTATTTTGGCTTTTGCAGTGGTTGCAGATTTTCTCGACTCCACCTCTTTGCTGTAAGAGTGAGGTAAATGTAGCAGAAGACGTGACATCATAGCCATTGACGTGCAGTGACTGCGTCTGTGACATGACGTAAATGCTAGCATTGATCCCGCCTCTTTTTGCTGTCCTGCCAATCGGCTCTCTTCCTTCTGAGTCGATAAGGCCAACGCCCCCTAGGTGTTATCCAATGCTTTTGTAAGACTGTTATAGCACTAGCACACACACACGTGCAACCACGCGCACTGCATCCTCGGGGCAGAAGTCTTATTTTGCACAGCAACACGGTTACAAAAACTTTTAAAAAAAATGACAATGTTAAGCTCAGAAATTCCTCATTTGATATTTATTTATACATTTCTACATATAAATATTGAAAACACGTAATGTGGACTTTCCAACTGTATTCACACTATACTCTCATGTATATTTATTTAGTATGTAAGAATGCTCTATTCTGTATTTTCAGCCATAGTCACTACAGTATAACTTTACAAAACCTGATGTCACCACTGAGACATTGCAGTAGTCGGTTACTTACACTAAAAGGTTTTCTTTACCTATAAACTCGTGACTAGTGTAAATTGTAACAGGACATCCTGTGGAGAGAAAT